TAGGGGGGGAGGCGGGGGGAGATCCAGCGGGGGGGTGGAGGACAGGGAGGAACCGGCAGGATGGGGGGGAGGCTTACCTGCTCCTGCTGGTTCCTCCTCCGGCAGCTCAGTTTGGAGCTCCCCCCCTCCCCGCGAGTTGTACATGTTAAATTCCAAATTTAGATGTTAGGAAGAAGCAATGAGAGTATCAGGGTGGGGGGCACAGCATTTGGCAAGAAATTTATTTGGATTTGAGTGACCAAATACCCAAATGCAATCATTAGTGGCCCAATGGCAAACAAAGCTCAAACCTTTGCACATTAGCTCTGCAGGTCATAACCAATGAGTGACAGGCAACCCAACCATGTGTGGATCATAGCCACAACTGTTCAAATCTCCTTATCATTTCTGGTTATAATTAATGCTTAAGTGTCTTGTTTACTTTGAGACTCCTTTTCCCTCAACTTTAAATAACTGTAAGCAACACATTTTAAAAAGCATTACCTGAAAGTTTGTTCGTACAGTCACAATCAGTTTTAACCAGGGAGGAAATTTAGAAATAATATTTGCAATGAATGAAGAAACTGTATCCCCATAATCAGGTTTGTGAAATTCAGCCTCATTTAAGCCATCTATCAAAATGATGCATTCCTCTTGTGGAATTTTCTGTTCTAGAAGGCAATAAAGTGAAAAAGCAATTAAGATGTATACCTTTTCGGTATCTTTCATATACCCCTCCCCCACCCTGTTTAAACAATTCAATTTTAGTACACTGCCGATAGAACGTTTTGTTACTGCTGTAAAAACAACACAGAGCGGATTCTGTCACCTTTTATGTGTCATTTCATAGCTTCCCACAAAAAATATATAGTACGCCACCATTTTCTAACAAATCTGTGCCAGGACCCTGTGCAGAGATAAATACCATTTAACACGCTATGCGGGAACTATATTACAGCATCCCAGCCTGAAACACTGATTTCAAATATTCGCAACTGAGGTACGGACTTGAACTTCTTAAAGATGTGGGCATTTTGTATTTCTGAACTGCAATTATACACAAGATATTTTTTAAAAATTACAGGATCTTACTTCAGATGCATCATAAAGCACTTTGACTCTACATGAATGGTCAGGTTTTCATTCTCTCTCCCTCTTCCTCATTGTGATCGCCAATTATCTATTTTCTCTTTCGCAGCAATCCACGGCTTGCCATACTACCTGAATTGGCAAACCACAGTCTGTGCTTGCCCTACAGACCAGAATTGCAAGTCGGAACAAACTATGATTTGTAATCATGTTCACAGAATAAGCAACAGGCCCCAGCTGTTACTTCCCCTGCAACTCCCAGCTGTTTTTCCTGATGGTGGTTATCAGGTAAAAAACATGCATCTGGGCACCCCAATCTTTTGTTTTTGTTGTTCAGTCGCACAGTCGAGTACAACTCTTCGCAACCCCATGAACCACATCACACCAGGCCCTCCTGTCTTCCGTCGTGCTCCGGTTTGCTTAATTTCATGTCCGTTGCATCAATAACACTGTCTAACCATCTCATCCTTTGCCATCCCTGTCTTCTTTGACCTTCAATCTTTCCCAGCATCAGGGTCTTCTCCAGTGAGTGCTCCCTTCTCATTTGGTGGCCAAAGTATTTCAGCTTCAGCTTCAGTATCTGGCCTTCCAGGGAACAGTCAGGGTTGATTTCTTTTAGGATTGACTGATTTGATCTCCTTGCAGTCCGAGGGACTCTCAAGAGTCTTCTCCAGCACCATAGTTCAAAAGAATCTATACTTTAGCACTCGGCCTTCCTTATAGTCCAACTCTCGCAGTCATACATGACTACTGGGAATACCATTGCTTTGACCATGCGGACTTTTGTTGGCAGGGTGATGTCTCTACTTTTTATTATGCTGTCTAGGTTTGCCATCACTTTCCTCCCAAGGAGCAGCCGTCTTTTAATTTCATGGCTGCAGTCACCATCTGCAGTGATCTTGGATCCCAGGAACATGAATTCTGTCACTGCTTCCACAACTTCCCCTTCTATTTGCCAAGGAGAGATGGGGCCAGATGCCATGATCTTAGTTTTTTTGATGTTGAGTTTCAAGCCAACTTTTGCGCTCTCCTCTTTCACTCTCAACAAGAGGTTCTTTAGGTCCTCTTCACTTTCTGCAATTAAAGTGGTATCATCTGCATATCTGAGGTTGTTGATCTTTCTCCCAGCAATCTTAATTCCGGCTTGTGATTCATCCAGGCCGGCCTTTCGCATTATGTACTCTGCATATAAATTAAATAAGCAAGGTGACAATATACATCCTTGTTGTACTCCTTTTCCGATGCTAAACCAATCAGTTGTTTCATATCCGGTTCTAACTGTCACTTCTTGACCCTTATACAGGTTTCTCAAGAGACATGTGAGGTGGTCTGCTAGCACCCCAACTAGAAGCACCCAAATTGGGAGTTATATGGGAACAGCTGCATACTTTTTCTCCAGCAAACCATCTTTCTCTCCATTTTGCACCAGATCAGTAGTGGCCTGGCTTTCCAATCCATCATTGCTGAGAAACATTTAGTTTCATCCATTTACTTATCAAACATTCTGAGATATGTGGACAACAACTGTAGTTCATAATATCCAAGATAGCTGCTACATTACTAAAGCCAGTGCTATAGAGAAGCACTGCATGATGTTACTGAATCATTTACCATTGCAACTTCTGTTAAGGTTCCATTTTGTAAATGGACTCTCAAAACTTCCTGAATAATTAATAGATCATGCGATATGCACTACAGATGGCTCATAAACACATCAGTAAATGTGTAAGATTATAACCTAATAATGTTTCAGTATAAGTATAGATGTTCATTATTCATTTAAGTCTAACAAATCAATTTTCCTTTCTAAATGTGCTCTCACCACACGAAATGCAGCTGAATTATCAACAATCCGAAATGTTTTGTTTGTGAGCTTTGCTATCATATTTAGCACAAGACCAAACTAATAAAATCTAATTTGGAAATGTCTGACACACGTCAGAGAACCATGGGATGCATCTGAACTCATTCAAGAAACAGATTTTTTTTGGCTTACCTTTCCTAAGGTTAGCAAGTGGTTCTAGCACTCCTCTTCTGAATGCAGCTACTGGATCTTGAACACAGGACCTAAGGCTAAGCATGCTTTGGAGGTGTGGTTCCCTTATCAGAAGGTCTCTATATGCTGTTAGCTGATGTGACCGACATAGTAAAGCTGCAATGCTATGCACAAATTCTGGGACAAGACATGTATATGTATTGTCAGCTTGGCAGTAGTGGTAGGCAACAACCTTCAAAGTGAAGAAAAAGTACCATTTATAATTAGCGGTGAAAGGTTCCAGTGATTAACTTGGTAATACTCAATGTGAAACTATGTCGAACATGCATTTCAACTGGATCTTTTACATTGTCTCACAAAACGAAATTTAGGAAATTGAATGCACACAAACACACACATTTTTTCAGTGCAGATCTCACAGTCCTTTTCCAACATATAATTTCACCTTAATCAGTAAGAATTTGGATACACAAGATAATACACTCCATGAGCAAAGAATGGAGGACATTAGTTATATTACAGCAGATTAAAAACAGTACTACATTTCTGGTCTGAACATTGTGTTTTGGGTGTTCTTAGGGCATAATTAGTTTTTAGATTGGCTTTTAATGTTGTATATGTGTTGTTTTAATGTTTATATTATCAAATGTTTTTATATGGCTGTTTCCCACTTGGGGCTACAAGAGGCTCAGGAGAAAGGTGGACATATAAATGTTTTAAATAAATGAATAAAATTTGGTATGTTCTCTCAACTGCTCTTTAACTTCTTCTAAAGTACAGTAGTTTGCCTTTTCTTTCAAAAACATGTTCACATATAGTACAGCATTTTACATACAGATGCAAAACATTTTCAATATGTTATTATTAAATAGTAAACTTATAAAGCAGTACACTAAAGAGAATCTGGCTATGTCTCGGGATAGCCACCCTCTGTATTACTCTTCTCAAGAGATTCTTAAATTCATCATCTAAAATGGAGCTCAGTACTAGGACACAAAGTTTTAATAGAAGTTTGAGAATTTGCTTTATCGTATGGATCTAAGTTTTCTATATGCTTGAATTTCAGAGAAAATCGATGGGAAATTATTATTCAGTTATATTTAACATCAAAAGCAATTGTCAAAATGTATAACTCAATAAAATCCAATAAACCCAATAAAAATAAATAACTCATGTTCTGGATTTTGCTGGTATGGTAATGCAGAATCAGCTCATTTTATTTACATGTGGTGGTTTTGCCCAAGAGCTGTTTCTTTTTGGGGAAAGGTTGTCTTTTTTTTTGGTGAGTTTTGGTTTGGAAAGGACCACAGAAAATAACCCAGAATCCCTGTTATTGAATTATGTATTAAGAGTCCTGATTAGGTTATAAGTAGGGATGGACACGAAGCAGTGCACAAAATGAAATTCGTCACGACTCACGCCACTTTGGGCAATTGCTTCATTGACAAAGCAATCCATGGCTTGCTAAGCCGGGCACTGAGCAGTCAACTCCCCAGGCAATGAGGAGGAGCTTACTTCCAGGTTGGGCTGGCCCAACTGGAAGTGAGCTCTGAAGGCATTTTTATGCCTTTGGAGCCCACCTCCAGGTCAGGTCGGCCTGATCGAGCTCTGAGAGTGAGCTCCAAAAGCCTGGGAGCTCAGTTGGGCCAGCCCAACCTGGAAGTGGGCTTGGGAGGCATTTAAATGCCTTCAGGGCTCACTTCCAGGTGGGGCCACTTCCAAATAGTGCCGCAGCCATGCCCCAAACCAGAAGTGAGCTCACTTCCGGGTGGAGCTGCAGCCCCATGAACTTCCCATAACACAAACTGGTTCATGTAATGGAGAAGTCTGTGGTTCCGGGTTCGTGAAAACCCTGAACCTCCATTTTTCCAATTCCTGCCCAAACCTAGTTATGAGGTATAACTTTGTATCTAATTACTGCAGCATGTTTAACTTTTGTGCATTATTTGAAATAAAGTAAGACGCCTGAAGTTAGCGAATGGCTCAGTAAAGTGAAGGAGGTTTTTCTTATGCTAAAACTTACATCTTTCCAAAAGAATGAGAGCTTTGATTTACTAAGTCCGAGTGGTCTAAAGTTCTAGGCCATATTCAGGTAAAAGACAAAGAACTAAGAATGTAAGATTTTTTTGTTTTGAAATGTATATGAATGTATATGAATTAAATTAAATTTTAAAATGTCATACACACACACATACACACACACAAATTCATCATTTTTGCATGTGCCTAAAGTGCCGTCAAGTCACAGCCCACTTATGGCAACCCTAGCAAGGGGCTTTCTAGGCAATTGAGAAGCTGAGGTGGTTTGCCACTGACTTCCTCTGCAGAGTCTTCCCTGGAGGTCTCTCATCCAAGTACTGTCCATGTTTAGCTTCTGAGATCGGGCTGTACCATACTGCCTTTCCTTCCTCATCACTTTTACCCACTCCACAAATATCACAAGATAAATATGCCCAGACAGCAGGAAAGGCATGCTCAAATTATTTTGAAATTCATGGTATTTAAGAACATACACCCATGAAGCAGCATGAGATTTTGGACATCAGATTTTTGCTCCTTATTAAGTGCCAGAAGCTTTGGAAATCGGCACATCCGTAAAGTATCAAATTTAACCACTATCTCATCTACTCCTCAATGGCTTGACTCAGAATCTTGGAGGAAAAGGGGGGGGGGGGAAATGCTCAACTTTTAAAAAATGAGAATAATTTTTAGTTTGATGATTTAATGTTACATATATACCAATGCTAAAAAAGGTTAATGGTATTCAGCATCCTCATAAGCAAAGTCTGTGAACTGTAATGCATTCCTCAGTTTCAAACTAACAGTTACCACTATGTTAGTGCTGAAGCAGGGGTATAACTAAACCAAAGTCAAAGGTCACATTCATGGGAAGTAAAAGTTGCTTTAGAAATGAGAGGAGAAAGGGTGTGGGAAGAAGTCCGTGACTGTTTTCCCAGTTTTATGGAGATTCCTTATACTTACAAGGCATATTACCCCCTTTCCCAAATATATTTCCCAATGTCAAACAACACATTACAGAAAAAGTACAGACACAATTTTGCAAACACAAATTAATTTATAGCTAAGTCCATAATGCAATCACTGTGCCAGCAAAGAATGCTGCGCACAACCAAGAAGTAGAACTGGTAACAACTCAAAGACCTTTTCAGATCCAGTACTACCAGGGAGATACGTATGAGAATTGTACTGGCCTCAGTTAGAAATTGTCTTTCAGGACAAAGGGCAAAGCTTTCTGACTGTGTAAGTCTGTAGGTTAAGTCAAATGGACCTGGATTAATACATTCTAAATATAACAACTGCTTTGATGATGTTAACATTGGGGCAGTTCTTACATAAAGAGTGTACTGGATATTTTAGGAGGGAATTTTCTCCCCTTTAATGTAATATTTCAATACCAGACCAAATCCTCTCCTATTTGCAACACATTGCAAAGCTTTTCTCCTTTCACAATCCTTCTTGCAGAAATAAATGCATTTGAATAACCCCACTGCAATTTGCTGATAATTCCAGTTTATATAACTGTTAGATACATCAGTGACGGAAATGCTCTAAGCTGCCTAAATCAAATATTTTATCCTCCCCTCCGTCTTATTACACGCATTGCAGGAAGCTACACTGAATAAACTAGCTGTAGCTTCCGTAGGAATTAGCGATCACCATCTGCCAGAGTCAGATAGAAAAGGAATATTCCCGTAATTCTTAAGCAAGACTGTGGCTTTGCCTTCTACAACCAGAAAAGGGAAAGAAAAAGAAAAGGAATAGATTACCCAGAAACCTAATACAAGGTTATACAAGGTCTTCTGATTGCCTGTGTACAGGAGTAAAGTAAATTGCTGTATTTATTGAAACTGGGGGGGGAAATACCATGCCACATGGCTCTGATCACATACGTAGGTTTTCTAAGTATACTGAGTTCTCACAAAAAGCACTACAAAAAGCATAGATCTCTCAAATTCTGGGTTTTTTTCATAATATTGAAGAAACTGATAAATATTCCATGTTACCTTTGAAGCAAGCCGTCTAACTGAATCACTTGTTTGGTTTTGATGTTCGTGAGCAGAGGGGCAGTTCAAGGTTTTGATTGTACTGATGCCACCTGAGGTAACAATAGAGGGGGACAACTGGCTGAGAGGAATCTCTTGACAGGGGTCACTGCCTGTGGAGGGAGGGAAAATAGGCAGACATCCAAGTTATAACTAGCAATAATCATTTTGTGGTACAAATTACAAATATATGTAATGCTGGAAATGTTTAGTCTTCCAGGGAAAGCTAAACATTGTTTGAACTCCTTAGATTGCCCTCATGTGTTACCAGTTATGACTTCATTCTTGGAGTTGCACATACTCAAAACCGTACTTTGAAGGTGATGTTTATCGACTATGCTAATGCAGGGATGCCATGACAGCAAAAATTCGAAACAAAAACAGAAGAAAAACATTTCAGTTCCTTTACAATAAAAGGCATATACCCCCACTCCCAAAAGTACCGCAAGTGAGCCTTTCATTGCAGAATACTACAGGAACAAAAATGATACATACATTTCCACAGAACCAGCATCTCCCAAAGGTTTGGCTGATGTAAAGGCATAAACTAATTTACTCCCTCACACCAATGCCAAAACCTTAATTTCAAAATATGCTTGTTCTGTATACCTAAAGTCATGTGGAAATATATCTGCCACATTTTGCCACACAAAGCCTCACCTCCAGAAATACTACAGTTTTCAATACTAAGCATGCACACACAATACCTGGATTTTGACACACACACAAAGGAGTCTGCAATAAAATCAGAAGTCCCAGAGCAATGGACATCAGAGCATGCACATATGGAAGTAATAGGCAAATGAAGGCACATTTTGTGTCCAGCCCTGAAACTCCTGCAAACTAGGCAGCATTTAGACAATTGAAGGTTACTTAAGGAAACAAACGAAGGTGTAAATTTGTGGGATTATCAATGAGCTATACAGTTAGTAAGAGACTGCTACTCTCTTCACAATTTAATTTCCATATTACTTCACTCAGTATTTCTCATATTTTACCTCATGATCTATCAACCCTTTTTCAGCCAGAGGCTATCTTGGCTACAATTCCAAGTGAAATTCCCTTCCCTGGAATTCCAGCTTCCTTTCACTCATCAGTTTCTGCCTCTCCGCCCACCACACACAGACTGCACACCTACTGCACAACAAAGGGTAGGTTCTTCAAGGAACACCTGCTGCCACAATTCCTCATTTTAAAAACCCTGGATGCGGCACACTTGGGTAGAAGGGAAACAGATATATTCAGAATAGGTTCTGAGGTTCACACAGGGACTCTCTCGCTCCCTCTCTGCTACACTGACCAGTTGAGGAAGATATTCCCTAGCTCCCTCCATCCACAGTCACCAAATGTAACAGCAGGCAACTCTCTCAGTACAACAATTCTTTCACCTGCTTTGCCCGAGTAGGGTTCTATCACTTTCTTCAAAGTAGGTTTTTGCAAGACGGATTTAGCTTCTTGACCTACAGTTCTACGGATTGTAAAAACATTTTTATCCAGGATCTTAACTATGCACTTTCTTCAAAGTAGGTTTTTGCAAGACAGATTTAGCTTCATGACCTACAGTTCTATGAATTGTAAAAACATTTTATTTTATCCAGGATCTTAACTATTAAGAAAACCCTTTTAAAAAGAACTCCAAACCCCAGTCAATTGGTGAGGGGGACAACACATGTATATAGAACAAACGAAGACACACAAGAGATCATCTCATCTTCTTATCAGAACTGTTTATAATGGAAACTTGGCTAACAAACAAGAAAGCACAAAAAACATAAAAGGATATGCGTGATGCAGTCATTGAAACTAAGCTTTGGTACATAAGACAGTGTTTTTGAGATGTAGTTGAGCAATTACACAGGCTGTACTTTACCCCCCCCCCCCAAAAAAAGGTACAATGGGAAGGGTACATAAACATGCTATACTTTACAAAGGTGTACATTAGAAGGTGATGGGGCTGCGTGAAGAAATGTGGATCATTTCCACACACTAACAAGGAAAGAATGGAAGGAAAGAAGAGGTACTCTCAACATTGTAACAGGTAACAGAACATTTCTGTCCTATAAAACTCCAATTCATATAGCGAATGTATTGCAAAATTATTTTTTGATAAATGTAGCATTTTGAACCCTTCTTCTGAGTCTGCAAAATAATAAATCTAAAACATACTTTTAGGAGAAGAACTTGGGCTGGTGGAAGCAATTTGCCTCATGCGACTTCCATGGCAGCTAAGTGCCACAAGTTTTGAGATAATAGCAGTCTTCCCAAATCCCACATTTCCAATGATGGCAGCTCCCCTGGTCTCTGCCTGCTCTGTATTCTTCAGCTTTTCCTCTATAACTTGAAACAACCAGTCTCTTCCGACAAACACAGAGTCCATTGTTATGCTTGGCACTTCAAACAATAGTGGCTTTAGCAAAATGTCTTGAGGCTTATAGGGGGCAAAACGTGCTGAGAGGAGAGAAGAAAAAGTACTGGTGAGAAGAAAATATGTTATGCCTTAAAAGAAAGTGTTGATTCAAAGCACAAGCATTCATCTTTAAAGAACAGTTTCAGAAGCTGCAAATAACCTGTTTTTGAACATACATTGTCAATTCAGCCCTGAACCAAAACTGTCAGAGCAGAATAGACACAGCTAATTTTGTAAGGCTGGCCTATAAACATTAAATGGTTTCCACCCAGAGTTAATGCAAAACACATCTACATTGTTTTTCAAATCAGCACGCTTATATTTTTAAGGGCCTGATTATCTGTGATAATCAAGTCTACAAGTTCCTAGAGGGTTCGATATATAACACGTCAGGCTGTGAAGAGACAGGAAGTCCTGTTAAGGATGTCGCTTACAAAAAAGCTGAGGCAGAAACCAAGAAAGTAAGACAATAAACTACAGTGTAGTCCTCCTTCCAACCATACTGGGCAGGAGCAGAATTACAAAGTATAGTGTGCATACTTTGTGCACAGTATCAAAGCCATTTAGTTTTATTTTCCCTGCACAAAATGTAAAGCACCTCAAACAGAAGAGGAACCATAGGGTATACATATTTTCATAAATAAACAAACATAAGTAGAACTCACTACTTTGTGTAGTCAGTGAGTGATGAGAAGGTAAACAACTGGATCCTATTCCTTCTCACCACTTTTGCCATTGTCCCTTAATACACTACACTGTAGTCTAGAGGGTCTCTAAATAAAGCTTCTCTACATACAGCTGAGCCATCTTTAGGCCTGTTCCTATATTACAAGACTCTCATTGTGGTATGGCTCCATCCCATGCCATTCCAGAAGACCATGCAGTAAGCAACCAGGATTGTCCCTCATATACACAAAGTTCCAGTTTGCTTTCTATGGGGCTGGCATGAGAAGTAACCACAGGGAACGGCAGCTACTCTGTTAGAACATGAAAAGTAGTCCTTAATTGTAGATGTAAACAGATTGGCTGGCTCCAGAAGCATTGTGTAAAGCAGCTGCCCTAGCTCCTAACACAATGCCACCAGTATGCCTTCTCACTTATCCAGATTCCTTAATACATTTTTACAGAACTCACATATGGCCAGTGATAATTTGTAAACTGGCTGACTTCCCTTGTAATTCCTGCTTTTGTAAAACGACAGAGAATCATACTAAGTATTAGACACTATTTCTCCTTGGATGAGCTTTCGATCAGCCTCTGATATGACATGACATTTGGATATATATATATTAATCTTCATATTTCCTTCTTGTCAGTTGATCTGTTAATTAAAACATTCTAGACAGACGTAGTAGCTTCTACTTCTGATCTCTGCCTCCAGATAGATAAGGTTTTAGCACTTGATCTCCCTTTGTGCAACCTATTTAGTATATACTTTTGTTGCACTCAAAGAAAAGTTTCATCCAGGTGTGAAGAACTTCCTTTCTATGGAACACGGATTGGGTGAGCCCCCAACACTTGATCTGATGAGCAAAGCAAAATATAAAAACGGAACACATCACAGCATGAAATGCTTTCCTGTAGCCCAGACGTGCCTATATTCCTATACCATTTGCTGTCAAGAGGACAGAAGTGGTAAAAGGTTGCCGCCCTCTTATTCTGCTGTAGATTCTCTGGAGGTACTGTTGTCAAACAGGATGCTGGGCTAGGCAGACCTTTGGTCTGAGTCAGCAGGGTTGGATCTTCTTGTTCTTATGGCTAGGCAGACAAGTAAGTCCAAACTATTAAACAAGTAATAGGAACTGGCTCCTTTTTGGACATCTTGACATCTTCATGTGACAGCAGGTTATAAAAGCCCACCGGACGAAGTCAGCAAAAACCCCCCAAACCTGTAGATTTCCCACATGCTGGAGGAGCTGTTCTAGGCAATGGTTTGGATATTAAGGCAGCTTTCAGCCAGTGAGCCTGTGTTTATGTAAAGTGCTGTCCAAGTCACAGCCATTTTATGGTGCCCCATAGGGTTTCCAAGGAAAGAGACAAACAGAGGAGGGCTTGCCATTGCCTGCCTCTGCCTAATGACTGTGAAACTCCTTGATGGTCTTCCATTTGAGTACTAACCAGTGCTGACCCTGCTTTGCTTCTGAGATATGACGAGATCAGGTTAGCCTGGGCCACCCAGTTCAGGGACTCGTGAGCCTGGAACATGCTTATTTAAGGAACCTGATGTTGAATATCAAGACCCCCCTCTGTCCTTTTCTGCTTTCTTTTTTACTTCAAAAGCAGCTATGTAGACCTGCTAATGTGATCAAAAATTGGTAATACACTTCACAATTATTATATCGCTCCACAACTAATAGCAATTAAGAGCGGGGAAGGTGTTTAAGTGTCTGTGCGAGAATGAGATTTAAATCAGGGAAGTGTCATGAGAGGCTAACATGCCCTGCAAAGGATTCTGATCATGGACCTCCTGCATCATGTCTATTACATCCCACAATGTATGAGTGTGGGGTTTGTGCTACTTCTTCCTGGTTGGTACACCTGCCACTAAGTTTTAATGAGCTACAGAGACATCCTAAGAAAGGGCAAATACATCAATACCTTTGATTTCTTGCTGAACTCTCCCTCCAGCTGTGTTATGCCATGGCAAGCGAATCGAGGTTCTTAAGGGAGCATTCCTCTGTCCATCCAAATAGCTCAGGTCTTCCAACTTGGTGGAACTAGTTGCTGTAATAAGAATGTAATTTGGTCAAAGTAACATCAGTACAAAGTAGACTCCAATATCATGTCTCCAGCAGTGGTTGACAGTAGCTGTATCACATGAAACAAAATACTGACTACTTCAGTTCCTGCACTGGCTTGTATTTTTCTACTGTTAGTAGCACTACCCACAAAGCAGACCTGCTGATTAGTCCTAACATCTCTCCAAACACTTAAAATGTTTACATGTGTGTTTACACTTGGGTGAACACACCTGAAAAGCTATTTGGGGATTATGGTGTGGCCATGCCCTGTGTGAACTAGCACAGAACCACTGAGGGCTATGTGCTATGTGAACCACTGTGAACCACTGAGGGCTATGGGCTATGTGAAGACACAAAGGCAGAAAAGGTGAAACGCAACAGACAGTTTTACAGAAATTCATATTCTTGTAGCTAACTTAGGGCCAAATTACATGAGACCACGCCTCCAAGTCCACCACAGGGATGCCACACCATTTATAGTTTTCATTTTTAAAATCACTTTGGGGACCAGATCATGCCAGAGACCGTTTGGTTCCTGAGAACTGTGGCCCAGGGCGGGGGGATGAGGGACAGAAGGCCGTCATCCCCCCCCCACTGAAGTCTCTAGCAGGATTGGGCCCCCACAGTGATTTTAAAAGTAAAAAAAGGGAGGGGGAGTAAAATGATGCCATATTCCCGTGGTGGATCCAGGGACGTGATATCATGTAGTTTGGTCCCTAGAGCCAGGGTCTGGCCAGAAGGAAGGCCAGAGGGAAGGAACCGGGAATTGAATAAGACCTGGATTGAGCATCTGCCCCTAATATTTTTGCAGAGTTTGGCCAGAAGAGACTAGAGCCAAAGGACCCTTGACTCTTAGTCGGCAGCCTGAGGCCACTCATAAGCCTTGCCTTGGAAATTCTCATGACTCACCACCTGTTTAGGTTCAGACAGAGGGCTTGATGGCTTGTGCTTCTTGTAGTACTGTTTCTGTATTTTATTTTGTAAGCCACTTTTGAGTCCCCAGTGTGGAAGAGAAGCACGATAAAAAATATTCTAATAAAATAGTCTAATTTGTTCATTGTTACACACAGTTGTAGAGAGGTACCAGATGTGCCTTCTCAACAGCAAACAATCTCTCTGAGTATATTTACAATCACTTAAATAAGTGTGGTCTGGAAGCTTCAAAGTACTGTGGTAAGACATCCCAGCCAAGCAAATCTAGTGGACAGACAACATACAATAATGGTGTTGCTTGAGAGAGGGCCCGATCTGTACAACCATGGAAAAAACCCCACAGCACAGGGACTTTTTAAAGAAACAGTGCAGGAGTTACTAAACCAGGTGAACATGGTCTGACTCAGCCTAAAGCATCATTCTTAATCTCTAGATAAAGAGCAGACAAGAATCAACAAGAAGTGGATAAACAGAGCTACAAAAAGTCACGGTAACAATCAACACTGTAACAGCAAAGACCTTATGAGTATACATTCTATGGCACCAAGAAAAGTTTCAGCTGGGCCAAGAGTCAAAGAAAGCAAATTTTACACAGTAGTCAAGCTAAAATGCTCTTCTGAAGAAAACGTGATACCAACATAATACACAACAACAAAAGCAAGAAACCACCTTTTCCCGCAGACCTGCCACTTCAAAAATTATGGCCTTGAGCTTCCATAAACATCACCAGCTAAATTACTGTGTTCTGTGAATTTGTTAATCACAACCACTACATTCAACAGCCATAAAATTCTAGAAATTTATTATACGTCATGAGGCCATTTTTCATTGTTAAGCGGCCAAAGTAACCGTGTATTCAAGACACATTACTGCGTTCCTTAACAAACATCACATGAACAAAAACATGCAAATGAATCATTCCACAATGAGAAAGAATCCCATACACAGGAAGCCAAGAGTTTTTATATTTCATGTCACTAGTCTAAAAATACAAGACATTTTTATACATTCTCTCGGTACTATACACTGCCTTGCTCAAGGTAGCATTTAAAAAAATTAAATACCTTCTCTTCTGTGTTTTTTTAAAATAGGAAATGATGTCAAAGACAGTCTTAAAACTGATTTATTGTTAGTTAGTATCTAAAGGAAACAAGACTCTCACTGAATTTTTACAGCCAGTTTGGCAGTCAAATTACTTATTAAAGCTTCAATATTGCTAAGTCAAAACACAGCAAGATACCTAAGATGAATCTTCTGCCCCAATGATTACAGTCAGAGCTATTGGCAGTCCGTCTTACAGGCAGACAAGCAGACATTGTGTGAAGTATTTCACAGCACTGAGAATATTAACAATCATTCCATTAATGGTAGGATTTTTGGCCTCTATAAGGCCTCTATATGGCTATAAAACCTTAAATAGCATGAGAAATATGTTGGAATTAGTCAATACCTGAATTCACTAACAGGAGAAGATACAAAACAAATATACATGAATTAACAATGGTCATAAACATGTATGACATCTGCACTATGGACAGGTCTTTTGCTGACATACTTGTACTGCTAAAGAGGCAAGCCACATCTGGAATTGAAGAGAGGATTGTCTCTTCAGCAGCATCAGTACATGCAATACAAACATCAAAGACAATTTTAGCAGTTCATGCAGACCCTTCTCCTTCCACATACATAAAAGTGCTTGGAATGGACTGCATTTTTAATACCTCAAAAGTGCTATACAAACAGGTAAAGGACTGTGAAGGGTTAATTCTTCACAGAAACAGAGAGCCTTGAGTGACAGGCTGCTCCAAGTAATATGATCGGTTAGCATCAGCTGAGCAGAGAAAGACTTCTGAACTGGATGCTAAGGAGAATGAAGTCTGATTTTAGCCTTAGCTGGGAGCAGTTTAACACAGATGGAGAACTGGGGAAAAGTTGGCAAGGAAGTTTGGGAAATAGGCAAAGACTCCCAAGGGCAAAAGGAAAGGTGCTAGATATTTTAAAGAGAGAAGAATACTCCCTACCACACAGGGAGTTAGCTCTGAAGAGTACAGAGATCCCTGGTCTGGTGTGGTTAGAAATTGCCTTTAGTGACCTTAAGAATCAGTTAAAAAGTCAAGACAAGTACTGGTGTTTCAAGAAAAGGGGGCTGGATACTGGAAAGAGTTTAAAGAGTGTACCAGCCTTCTGGAAACCAAAGGAGCCAGATAATACTCAAAGGAAGTGTATTAGAGTGTTTGGAAAAACACTGGAACAAAAGCCTCTCAACATAAAGGTTTAAGTCACTGTGAAAAGCTTAAGAAACTTTCATTAGCCTGAAACATAAGACCTAAAGTCTGTGTATGCATTGATTTTACCTCAGAGTTATCTATACTGAGTTACCTAATATCACAATTACATCAATGCATGTTCAATACTTGTATATTTGAAAGGTCTTTTCCATTTGCCTATCACACCTCACTTTCTAGTGAGGTTTCAATGAAACTAACACCACTGTCAGCAAGGGGTTTGTACTTCTGGAATAACTCAGAGGAAATTCATTTTTAAAGTATTGTTTTTAAAAATCTAACCCTTTGAGTCTTCTAGTGCAAAATGCAAAGGAAGCAAAGGTTCATGAATTTAAATGGACTTGACAATGCCATGAATTCAGATATGGGATCCCCATACTCTCCTAAGACCACCCTAGCAGAAAATCTGGTTCCTTATGGTAAGAATTCCAGAGATGGGGAAAAACTAGGAAGTATTTACATGAACCAACTGCTTATCTTAATCTGGAGAATACCATTTCCAATCTTTTTATCTGGGATCTTTCTTTAAGAGAGTCAATTATCTTGCATTGTGACCCTGAAGATATGTACAACCTTCCAAACAGCTTTTAAACTACTATACTCAAATACTGTAATACAAAATTAAAATGAAAAACAAAACTGAAATGGAGAGAGGGATCAAGAGTCCAGAAAGAAAGGTGAAGTGACATTAGAGCTGTTTGCACAAACTGACATTCTCCCCCCCCCTTTTTTAAACGGACTTCTCTAGCCCATAATTGCTGAGGACTGAAATAAATCAATATTAAAATAAGGGCTATTCTATTTCCTCTGTAACTGCAGATTCATGTTAAGATACAAATGTTTCCGTTTGAGAAAGCAAACATTCAGGTATCAGAGATGAACAAATCTTTCCCTGTACCTTTCCTTAAAACATGCATGGCTTATACAAACAAAGTGGGTGACCTATATAGGAAAAGCTCTGACTTTGCTTTTGTGAATAGTTTGAGATGCTGGATAAAAACCAGCTGTAATTCCCAGGTCTCCTCCCTCTTCTATACAATTCAATTTAGCATTATCGGTTTTACCCCGTATTACATATGCTTTCACAGAAATAAAAGCTTCATTAATTTCTCATGAGAAACTTGGGTCATTTAGGAACGCGAGTCAGATTGTTTCCTAAACGTGGCAAGAAAAGAGGAACCGATCTTCAGCCATCTTTTCTGGATTTTTAAAAGGCCTTTGGAATATATTCTACATTCTATACAAAGGCTATAAGGAGGGGGGAAACAACCAGAGATTAACTGGTGGACCACGACTGATGGTGGACCCCTCACACTCCTTAAGGGTAGTAGCTGGAGAGGAATCTTGTCAGTCACACACTGGTACATTTGTTCATATAAACGTTTGTATAAAGAAGAATCATCGAGCATTTTAAGAATGCATTAAAGTATTTTAAGAGCATCCAAATATTTATCCCTACATAATCTAACAAGTTCAATGACTTTCATAACAATGAAGAATATTGAGAAAGCACCAAGAAAAGCAAAGCAAAATATATTCCCAAAAGGACGGGTGTGTGTGTGTGTGTGTGTCACACATAGTCACACCCCGGCATTTACTATATGCTGCTCAATAGAGAACATTCCAAAGGTACTCTGAAGATTAATGCACATCCACTCTAGCGAAAAGCATCATATCTCAATCAGGAAATTTTCTTTTAATGAAGGAATGCTGACTGCATGTGGTGGAAAGTGCCACCAAGTCACAGCTGATTTATGGCAACTCTGTAGGGTTTTCAAGGGGAGAGATGTTCAGAGGTGGTTTGCAATTGCCTGCCTCCACATCACAACCCTGGTATTCCTTGGAGGTCTCTCATCTAAATACTAGCCAGGGCTGACCCTGTTTAGCTTCTGAGATCTGATGAGATTGGAGAAGCCTGGGCTATCCAGGTCAGAGCTAAGCAGCCACTTGTAGTTCCCTCTGCAAACAAAGATGGCAAAATTAAAACAACCAACACTGTTATTCACAGCTGCCAGCTGGTCTGGAGATAAATGTACTGTCTCTTTAATAGAGATTTAATGGGTTGATATTTACCAGGCGAAGCGATTTACCTCCATGCCATGAAAAGTTTCAACTGGTCATTTCTACATACGAAGCCTCTATTAAAAGGACAGGCCATTTTTTCTCCAGGCCAGTTGGCAACCAAGTCTTCATACAGGGCCACCTATTTGCTTATTAAGACTTTAAAATGACATCTCTCATCACATACCTCCCATGACAATTCAAAATCATTTAAGGTCAGTTTCAGTGGGTACTCTCCATCTTGAAATACTACAACATTCAGTTGCATTACAGAACTGGAAATAAAATACATCTTGTCCTTTGCACATTTAAACACAGAACGGCCCCCTCCCCTACAAATAACCAATTTTACTTCATATCCCAGTCAGGATTTTTTCTTTTCTTTAAAACATTTTTATTGTTTTTATCTCTACACACTACAGGATTTTTTCTTTTAATGGGGGAATGCTGACTGTATTTTTAAAAAGCCCTTTATATGGCACCAGCACTTGCCAAGACAGGATCTTGTTAAGGTATTCCTTACTGTTTTCAGGACTGCAGTTTTTCCCTTTTCAACCCTTAAGTTTACAAGCTGAATACACATTTTATATTGATATATTCTATCTTCCCTTAAAACAGTAAAGGGAATTGACGGGGAGAATAAAGGAAGAAAATTGCCCTGTCAAGGGAAATCCAGATCTTATTGTGTACAATTCATTTTCTGAACTGAAGTTTATGCTGCATTGCCTTAAGGGTGTGGGGGCAAACAAAATTAAAGAAAAGAAACATGTAGTTGTATGTGAGAGAATTATGTGCCATCCAGTTGCTTCTGGCTCATGGTGACCCTATGGGTATTTGTACACATGGTAAATTAAAATACATGAAGGTTGTAATCTGGACTCAAAATTACAATTAAGAATGTTTTGTTCTTAATGTAATACTTAAAAACTGTTGGCAGCTGCTATAGTATGTGGGCCAGGATTACAATTTGGTACATTAATTAAATAGTAAAATGGCCTAACTGGAAAGGCTGAATATAACTGGGCCCCAATGAGTCAGCAATGTTGGTTGTTACGGGAGACACAGTGACGGTTTTCTGAGAAACTTTTAATTATTGCTGAGTCATGATGCATATAAAGAAACCTCAGTTATAATAAACTGCACATGCTATTTTGTGTAAATATATAGAACTTCTGAGCTTGTGATTCCTTGTAACCAACCTTCAAAGGAGGACATTCACTTTCTTGTCTAAACGTATAAGCACCATGAACTACATTACTTCCTACAAAATGCTGCAGAAAATCAAGCTATGTTATTAACTGTGTAATGAAAGGGCACATGAGCCATCCAGAACTATAGTTTGCATTTCTCAGTTCCCCTTCCTGAGAATGTCAACTCTCTAATAAATCTTCATAAACCTTCTGAACCCTACACCTGTGTTTGCAGTTTCCTTGTCTGTCTCTCTGTGTTTATTTTCATGAAGAGTTGGTTGGGAGCCTCTCTACAGCCATCATTACATGTACACACACTGCACATATTTCAACAGCTGACAGTTTATCACAATCATACCAGAGCTTAAATACAGTTGTTGGTTTGGAAGATAGAGACTCCTTACTGGTAACTGTTCTTTGACTGGCCATCTATGCCACATAACTAGGTTCTGCATCTGCAAATATCACCCATGGAAATGTGCTGAATGAAGTGGCTGGTGTGTGTGTCTCCCCTCGGCCCCGTGAACATACCTTGGGAGTTAAAGCAAATACCTTTCCTTTCATCTCAATTGCATCTGCCAAGCTGCAGAAAAAACAGCAGGCAACAAACAAAAGAAACTAGCTGTGAAGAAGGTAGGTTGGGTTGTGTGACTGAACTGACAACCACTCAAAAAGAACAGTGGTTACAGGCAAATAGCCCTTCTTCTTCATGGTCTCTGGGAAGTCTCACAATCGGATGACTGAAGGCGATACAGCTATAAATAGGTGCTGGAACATCAGTGCAAATGCCATTCTTCCAAACATGGCATCAACCCAAGGTTTTGCATCAAAAGCATAATGCTCACTAAAATGCTGAAGGAGCCACACAAGTGACTGACCTGCAAAGATTTAGTAAACGGTCATCATGAAAATATGGCAAGAATGACTAAATTCCTCAACTGAGAATGTTTCTCGATATTGTTGAATTTGGGTTGTTTGGCCAACTGATAAAAGGATGATCCGAGCGATCCTGCAATAGAACTTTTGAAAATAAATGCATTTGTCTTTACGTTTAGATTATCATCTTTACGAAAATTCTTTGTCCTATGCAAACAGACCTTGATAAACATCCAGGGTATGCAAAGTATGCTTCATTTATTTACTCAAGGAAATATGTACATTTATCGCCTGGAAAACATGGGAACAATCTTTAGAGATGACTCGATGAAGGACTACCATTCCTATGAATCTACAAGAAAGGAAGATAACACAAAAGCCAACAGTTCATTTGCCCTATAAGCAGGTGCCGTAATACTGAGAAGAGCTGTTCTGATTTGATGAGCCCACAATCACAGGAGATCCCAAATCCAAAACAAAGATTTGCAAAGATCAGTGAAAGGAAAGAACAAAGATAGGCTAGGGAAAGGTCATTAAAAACCACACGGCCAAAGGGGACGGCTTACAGAAAACACATAAAAAACATTCTCTAAGCTTTAGTCTTTATAAGTGGGGACATGCAATACTCGTGGGGGTAATTCTTCTTCCCTTCTTAATTACCCCCCATCGTAGCCACTCTCTGTATAAAGAGGTATTTCCTTTTGTCCATCCTGAATCTACTGCCCATCAGCTTCACTGGATGCCCTCAAGTTCTAGTATTTTGGGAGAGGGAGAAAAAGTTCGCTTTGTCATCTCTCTCTCCCCCACGCATAATTTTATAAATTTCTATCATGTCCCCGTCCCCCCCCTTTAGTCTCTTTTCTGAATTGAAAAGTCCCAGACTCTTCAGACTTTCCTTACAGGGAAGGTGCTCCAACCCCCTCATCATCTTGGTTGCCCTCTGTACCTTTTCCAGCTCTGTGAGGCTGCACCACAGATCTATAGAGGGGCATTATGATATTGGCTGTTTTCTTTTCTTTTTTTCTTTTTTTTGGCCCCTCGGAGGGGATTTTTTTTAATTGCATTTTTATAAAGACTACAAACTACAACAGAAATAGGGAAGGGGACTACATTAAGGGATAAAGAAAATATACCCACTACTGTCTAAAAACCCAAGAGAGGAGATCATCTAGTTAGCTTGGCACACATTATCTCTCAATCATGCTAATCCCATTATGAACTGATTCAACTATAGTATTATCTTTTTCATATCTTAACTATCACTGTAAACCCGAAAGACCCCTAAGCATCTAGTATAAAAACAAAAACCAAAAAAAAAACCCCACTGGGGCAGACCTTTCACTTTCAAAAAGAAGTCTCTTTCCTTTTTATAGCTTCCTTGACTTGCTTTGTTAACCATGCAGGCCTTCTTTTAGACTTGGCAGTGCCTTTCCTAACTTGTGGAATGCATTCTATTTGGGCTCCAACCTGTGTGGTTTTAAATAGCTTTCACGTGAGATTTGACTCTCACGTGTTTCCCTTTAAGCTTCCTTTTTAATTATTCCCCTCATTTTTGTAAAGTTCCCTCTTTTGAAATCAAGTGTGACTCTTTTGAGCTCTAGGGGTAACTTTCTATTGACCTGAATGCTGAATTTAATAGCACTGTGGCCACTGTTCCCAAATGGTGCAACAACCAGTACATCTGTCACCAGGTCTTGAGACTTGCTCAGAACCAAGTAAAATATCACTGTCACACAAGCTTTTAGAGCTTAGGTGCAAGTATAAGAAATGGAAGCATTAAACCCCCCCAAAGACTAGTTCTGCTCAACTGAAGTTGAAATGAATGACAGAAGGAATGAAGTACTCCAGAAACAGAATTCTTAAAATCAACATTGGTGATTTACTTATGCTGATCCCTTTGGTACCGTGTTTCTTATTCATAAGCTCACGAGGGAAGTCGGTCCAATGGAGTGCAATGGCTTTGTTTTCAATCATAATCCTTTTTAACAGCCAATTTAATGGCAGATCTAGATTTCAAGCCTGGATCAAGAGGCTCAGAAGCTGTCCTAGCACAGCTTTTACAAGACATTGCCAGAGTGGAAACCAAATGAGGATTTGTGAAGCCTGAAAACTGCCATGTCACATCAGAATAAATAGAAGTCAATGCTTATTCCTGCAGCAAAGCATGCAAACCACACAAATGGCCTAAAAATGGCCTTGCAGCAGAGACAATCCTGTATGTTCCATTAATAAGGTAGAAAACATGTCTATGTAATACAGGGACACTACCTCAACAACTGCTACCCTTTGAGAAAGTAAACCATCGTGCCATGTGAAAGTAGCTGGGAAGTACTAATAATACAGTCCCCAAAAAACTAATTCTAAAGTAAAAGCCATAGTGTGGCCACTAACTCTACCTACATAAAATTTCTAACTACAGTAAGCAAACATTATACAGAGAAGCAAATCTCTCAGCTGAACTTCCTTGGCAATTCTGCTTTTTCATGAAGACAACAAAACAAGGCATGAGTCATCTGGCAATATCACAAATATCTGTTCTTGAAGGAGAAAACTTTAAGTGCCAGTTTGAATATCAGTTTCCTCAGCTTTCCCCCTGCAATAGTTTGTTGCTAGGAAAATGCCATCTATCTTGCAGCTAGCATATCTATTGCTCCAGAGGGTCAAACCAGACAATATGCTATCCTGGGGAACATCATCATTTTACCTCTGGAATTCCCTCACTGTACAAAGGGGGGAGCTGATCCCATTTAGAACCAGAGCACGGTGAGGAGGAGGGGCCCCTGTCTCTCCCCCATGTACCATTTGCAAGAGCTCAAATGACACCAGGGTTTTGGGCTCTTGAAAACAGTGCTGGGGGAGGGAGCTCTTCCCAGCAGTCCCAAGCAGCATTGAACCCCCACCACAGTGTTTGTAAAGTGAGAGAATTCCATGGGTAGAACAGTAGTGGTGTCCCCAAGGATACCATATCATCTAGTTTGGGCTTCAGTGTGTGGTTGCCTACGCTGGATTGTGTTTGTGATTACAG